TCGTCGCGTTTGAAGATAGAAAGGATATCTTTGCCATTTGGCGGTGAAATTACTGAAACTGATCAAGTTTTACAATTTTGCCGTTAGCCGGCGAGCGTTTCCTTCAGAACTTGATTTGAATGAAAGGTTTCAGTTACGAAAAATCAGCTTTGTAAACTAGAGTGATGCGAGCCGTCCTGAGTTCATTCTTAAGCTTTTCTCGGCGGTAGAAGGTTGATATTGCAGTGACTTTGCCTTTGCAGACTATGATTTTAAATTGATTTCGACTCCGACCTTCGCGAACCTTTTTTTTTTTTTTTTTTTTTATGATGACTATCTAGAAATGATTAGGTAAATTTACACTATATTACTTTTTGTCTCTTTTCGTTTAGCTTTAACCCGATTTGGGCACTATAAGACAAAAATGCAAGGCTTTCTTTCATAAGCTCTACTTTTTATCTCGTATGTTATGCCTTTTTTTTTTTTTTTTTTTTTTAGTTCCTTGAACAAACTAGAAGGTCACTTAAACATAGCTGACTGCGACATATCGACGCGCTCTAATGTCGAATAATTTCTCACTTCTTTCAGTTTTTTCTTTATTCAGACCGTTGCATGACCCTTGTGTTTACCTCAACTCAACTATTTCCTGAATTCAGCAATCAGACATAAGTACGTTTTTGTTCCACTCTTCCTAGCCTTTCTTCTAGGAAAGGGTGCGCGACTGGTGTGAAGCGGAAGAAAAACTCCTTGCGGAAAGAGAAATATGCTTGAGTTGTTTGCAAAAGGATTTAGTTGCATTTTTGAAGATATATACCGCTAGGAAGCTCAGCACGATTGTGAATCTTTCCAACAATAGCTGAAATGAGTCGTTTAGCGGTATGCGCCACGCGGTTAAAATGTTGTTTACATAGGTCAACCCTTCTATGGTAGTGGAGTTACGGCGGAACCCGTACATTGTGTGCTTAATAAGTAAGCAATGTACAAATCAGAGAGAGCGACGGCACTTTATCTTTACACTGTGCGGTACTTTTAAGGGGTCAAGAACTAATTTTTGCTAAGGAATGAACCCATTTCACATTTAAAAGGACTGTCACGCATTTTTTTTTGTGAGTTTAGGTTCCCATCCTATCGTTAAACGCTTTTGACAGAACTCCTGGGAAAATTTGAAAACAATAATCTATATCATACTCTTGTTTAGAAAGGTCACAAATTTAATCGGTTTCTACTCTTTTTTTTTTCTTTGATAGCACATTATCCTGACGCATTAGTTGGTAATGATTGAATTTTCTAGTAGTTGAAAGAACAGAATTATCTGGTGACGATTGATAGAGAAGTTGACCACTCACACGATCCTTCAACACCATCTTTAAGCATTTGAGAGTCCTTTGCTCGCTAATTGTTATATTTATTTTTTCCTTTTTTTTTAATTTCTTATGAGTCACAGTTTAGGTCGTTTAGGTCGTTTTTGCAGAAGTACTGAAATCATTTTAAGGCTTTTCCCAGTGCCTTTTCCAGTATGGTAGTTGAGAAAAAAAACTGAAAGATAACAATTGTGAGACGATGCCAAATTCACGGAACACACAACTACCAGAATTTTGCCTCTCATTCTCACTCTCTCTCGTTTTCGTTTGTTGAACAAGACCTCGGCAGAGGGGTTCCTAGAAGAGTGTGGCTCCTTTCGTAAAACCATTATGTCTTTGTGATTCAACAATGAAAGAGGGAAATTTTTGTGGATTCTCAAGTGAAGAAATTATTTCAGACAGTATGTCGGGGCTCGTTAAGATATGTTTCGGTGTTCTTGATGGAAACTTTCCGATTAGAGATCTTTCATGAGGATAAGTGGAAGTACAGTCTTTTGAGGGATCCTGTTCCTGTAGACTAGCTTTGTCTGTTTCCCATATTCGTGGCGTTGCTCGGAATTTTTTTTGATCCTTTAATACAGCTTGCAGCGTTTGATGACAAAGGAGAGTTTCTGCTCTTTTAAAATCACGCGCAGTGGAACATGATTGACCTGTAGTGGAAACTAAAAGCAATATTTTGGTGGAGGAGTTTTGTACACGTTGTGCACCAAATTACCTTAAGAACTTTTCTCTCTTATTTTTATGTGTTTTATTTTCTGTCTTTGGTGTCGGGAATCTGTCAATATTACTTGAGTCTTTTGGGTAGTTTTGTGTCTACGCCAGAAAACATATGGTCGTACTACGGATCCAGCGCAAACAGAACTTGACTTCACAGACAAACATCAATCAATGACAAGTAATGATTGAGTCCATTATTTGTTGCTAGAAACATCTTGAATTGCTACTGTACAGAGACTACATACGGGTTTTAACAGCTAACTTATTTGAGACGTGGCCTTTAATAGCGCATCTGTAATTTTGTAGCTCAATTGCATGGGATCGAAGAAAATGTCTCTTTCGAAAACGAGAGTCTTATCGTAAAGTGGTAGTCTTCTGTCTGTAGACTCATCTCTCTGGCTTGTCAGGAAGATCAAACCTTTCGGAAGCGTTGTCGCTCTCTAGGTCTTCTACTTCAGCTCTGTTCAAAATTGGAAGGCCAGCACTCTAAAAGTGACAGGTCATAAAGAAAAAGTTCAACGTTTTCTCGTGGAATACAGGTGCGACGTAATCTTTCGCATCCAGTTTTCGCGGTACGTCGTAATCAGGCCACTGTGGAACAGGTTCGTGCTATGTTTTTGTGTTCTTTTGGGTCGCAAAACGCTTGGTATCAAGGGACATTAATGACTCTCGTACAATTAAGAGATAGCTGAACGTGTATGGACAGAAATGTAGTAGATTTTCTTTTGGACAACTTGATGCACCATGAGTTTGATGGCTAGTAAGAGAGCGAATAGAAATGTATCGCAAGGCATATTCGGAAATTTGATGAACTCATTAATCTTAAGACAATCAAGCACGAATTAGATCGATAATAAGGAGACTAGACACAGACTGTTTGGTATGAGTTTCGGGTCGCGTGTTACTAAGAAGAATTATTAAGCGATTAGAGATGTTAAGCGGAATTGTGTCATGTAAGCAATCGACGTTCTGTTCGAATTGTTGATATTTTGAAGCATTTATTAGCCCATTATTTCTTTACAACACCGTGAAAAATAGACTATATTAAGATCGAGCTGTTTTCTAATTAATGACAGTGATTTGGAAAAAACCCGCGTTCGAATGTAAAATGACAAGTGGAATAATTTTGATGATAGCATCCGCGAACACCGTCCAGAGCGTATGTTAAAGGAAATGGTACTAGAGGGAAAGTAAAGAGAAACGATCGAAAGAATGTTATTAGTTGTATAGTTATATAGTTTAACATTGAAAGCCTGCTGCATTAATTTTGGAAGTTAATTGGACGTTTTAACATTCCGCCATTTCCTATTGCTAGTGTTGATTGTCTTATGATTTATTTATTCTGCTTACAAGAATAATGAATGTGTTTACCAACCACTTACCCCTTGAGTGCAAGGAAATGAGTTTTCGTCACATTTGCCGATTTCTTCAGCACTCATTGTACTAAGTTTAAGGAACGTGCTGAAGAAAAACAATTTAATGTACCTCATCCGCTTGGCAGTGATTCCCACGAAACGAAGAGTGTGGGACATTGTCAGATCAAATAAAGGCCCTCAGATGAAATAAGTTTTCTGAATCTTGGCATAGTTTAGAATATGATGTTGTAAAACAATTCTTGAACTCGCCGACCATTCCGTGACATGGGAGAACACTTTCGCCCATTTTGTCGCAAATTTAAAAAGAATGAGTTCTCTTCACTGCATCTTTGGATGAGGTCGAAATAAGGTTTTCAAGTTTTGATAGGCAAATGGATGGTTTTGGTGATGTTGGTGCACTGCAATTCGTGGACTCTTCGAGAGAGAACAACATTGCTCAAAATATCGAAATCTCCTCGATCATTCGTTCTTCTCTGTGCATCTTTTTGTTTCGTGACATGCTACGATTAAAATGATTACCTGCTATTTGAAGTAATTATTTTGTTGATTTTGGCTTTGTCTTTGTCTTGGTATTTCTTAAAGATGACTCAATGCCAAAGATGTTTAGAATTTCTTAGTTTCAGTTTCTCTTTCTTGAATGTTGTTACTGACCCTTTGATTGATTGATCTCTGTGTGGTAACTCTTTTTAAACAGCACAATGACTTTCTTATTAATTTTTGTGGTGTGTTTCTAGTAATTTGAGGAAATAACCCAACCCAAAGACAACAATTTCCTCTTCCTCAAAATGACCCGTAATTAATATTATAATTAGTGTCTGTGTAGGATCTTTTTTCATGTGCGACACAAAAGAAAACAAATATTTCAGGAAGCCACAACCGGCGGCGACATAAACACTTTTTAACACCTAGTGTGGCCATCTTTAATGGATGCTTCTAGAAAAATATTTTTATGGGCGTTCTTCATGAATTACGTAAAAGCGCTCCGGGAACATGGGGTTGTAGACAATTCTTTTCAAATACTCAGTGGTTAAACGCGAAATTGAACAGCTTCGTATTAGACCTGTATCATTTCTACCAAGTAACTTTTTCTTCCCGGGTAGGAAAATGAACTCTCTCTTGTTGGAAGCGGAGAATTATTTGTAATACGTTTAGTTGCAGGACAATACCAACTGAATTTTCGTTGCATTTCTCCTTAAAAAGGAAAAAGTGAAAATACGCTCTTGATGCGTCAATACACTGCACGACTGATCAAATATGAGTACCCCTACTGGTTCCTCGCTTTTATTCAAATTTTTCTCTAAACTAATTATCATCGGCAAGCTTTCCTCGCTTTTGGTTGTATTTTACAAACTTACCAAGCTCAAAACGTATTCACGAGTAATCACTTTAGTTTCAATATAACATATCGTTTGTAGAACTGAAAGGTAATTGACAGATAATTTAATCAGTAAAATATCTCCTTTGATTTGCTGCAGGTACCAAGAGTTTTATGAAATAACTTCGAGAATCTTCGAGGAAGAAGTGGACAAAAGTACACGACGAGTAAAACCGCTTCAGCGATCAAAACATGGAAAATGAACTGAATGCATCTACTGCTTACCCAAATGCAACAGAGTCTTATTTACAGCCTTATTTGGAGCCGATCGCTCTCAAGATATTTCGCTTTGTAATATACGCTGTAATCATCGTTTTCGCCTTGGTGGGCAATGTCGCCGTGTGTATTATTTCAAGTCGTACTCGTCGCCTTCAGACCAGCACGTATTGTTTAGTTATGAACTTGGCCATTTCCGACATCGGATCTGTGCTTTGTCTCCCATTCTTGTTACCTGAACTCTTTATTGGAAACTGGCTGATGGGAGAAGCTATGTGCAAATTGCTGAAACCCAGTGTTGTGGTGTTTAACTTTGTAACAACGAACACGTTGGTGGCCATAGCGTGTGATCGATTTCGTGCCGTGGTGTTCCCGTTCGTTATGCGACCATCAAAATCAGAAACACGCTTGATCATCGCACTGCTGTGGCTTATTGCCTTTTTGTTCTCTTTGCCTTCGTATGGTGCTATGACCGTCCTGGATTTTCCAGATAGTCCTGGCATTTACTACTGTTTGGATGTTTTCTCAGATAACTTTGACAAAGATACTTTCTATCGTCGTATTTACACAATAACAATGTACGCCGTGAATGTTCTTCTTCCAGTACTTGCCATCTCGGGACTGTATCTAAAAATCGCAGCCACTTTAAAACATTTTCGCCTCATACCAGTGGCACTGAGACCCAATCGTTCGTGCTCACTCAACACCACGCCCAATTCGAGTCCGCGCTCCTCAATAGTAAATACCAACAAGCTGAACATGAATCCCGCGGGTGCAATAAAGAGACAGATGATGGAGAGGAGATTTCTCAAGATGTTGATGACTGTGCTTCTTGTTTACGTACTGTGTTACATTCCTTTCCAAACGTTGTACCTCGTTTACGAGTTTAATCCGGATCTGGCATATCTAAGCTACCTACAGCCACTTTCGGAATTTTTATACTTGATTGTGTGGCTTCCGAACGCTCTGAATCCAATTTGCTACGGTTGTTTAAACGAACAGTACAAGAGAGCTTTTAAAGCGTTGATATCTAAACCTCGAAAATACTTTCAGTCATTCAGATCGCGGCGGACTTTATCAACAAGAACTAAGACCTTGGCTGGAGTTAAAATTCGGTGAAGTGCTGTAGTTAAGGGGGGGGGGGTTAGAAAGAAAGATAATATATCTATTTGAAAAACATGAAAATGCATAACTCCGTACATTATCAGCATTCCCTGTGAGAATGCTCCTTCATATTAAAAATATACAACGTTCTTCAGTTACCCTGTGGCTTTCTGTCCAATGCATATCACCATAATTACGATGGCAACAACTTGAAACTGGTTGTCAACCAAGTGACACCCTGGCACTTGCAAAAACAACACTTCAAATTACCCAAGATTCATAATTTAGGAAGAGAAAGTCAGCCAAAAGGAAAATATTGTTTATGGTTGTAATCTGTATTTATTAACGTTAGAATGCTACAGTAGCTCGAATATTTATAGTTATTGTGGTGTGATAAAAACAAAGTTATTGTACAAAGAAAATATATCTTACCTGGGTGCATGTACGTACATAAAGATTTGTTACTGTATGTAGAGGTGGCATTGTGATTATCATAGCGATAAGAGGAAGTGCATTTGGTTTGTCTCCACACTGAAAATAAAGAAATTTGAAGCTGTACACGACAAGAGTTTTGAACCGGGAATCAAGCGTGATTATTTTGAGTGGTCGTGTTTACATTGAAACCTGTATCAATCCTCTTAATACTAACAGTGAGTATTGCATCTAATTTCCCCGTACTGCGCCCCTCCTGCATCCAACATTAACGTCATGAAGAAAAAAAAAAAGGAAATTTAAAATGATCGTCTACCTGAAGAAGTTCTTGACTGTAAGACAAATTCTCCCTGTCGGTACCATATAAAATGTATGAAGAATGCTATGGAGAATATCCATTTTGATGTTAGGGTGTAAAGGTTATGAAGGCAGGGATGGCGCAGTGCTTCCTTATCCTGGTGACTGACTACGGTCTGGGCGCAATTCACGGAACTGACGTCACACGTGGGCTGAGTTCGTAGTTCCTTGTTCCAAGGGTTTTCGCTGGGCTCTACAGTTATCTTCTCTCCAAAAGAACTAACCCTTTAAATTTCAATTCCATGCACCAGGAATAAAGTGGACGAAAGCTAACCCGAGGAAGTTTCACTGCTGAATTCAATTTTTTTTTGTTTTATCTATTCACTAAGCGGACAACCTTGCGTCCTTACTAAATCCAGGGTTTACTAGAATGCCTAATTGTGACAAGTCCAGTATTTTTGTGAGTATTCATCATTGAATAGTAATTCTTTCTACCTTTCTCGAGGAAAGTGTTTCGCCGAGATGTAGTTTGCAAGGTGAAGAGTTTATTAAAACATACGAAACAGTCGCACCCTTGTCTTCTCTTTGAATTGCGGTACATAACTATGCACATGAGCTATTAAAGTTTGACTCTAAATTGCTGACAGACAAAGACCTAAAATGACAGGAAATCTATTCTAGGAATACCGAACATTTTTTTACGAAAGTAATTAGTGGTTTTCTGTTCCTCGGAAACAGACAAGTGTTCAGCGATTTTCAGATCTTTTTAATAAACGCTGTAACCTGTCTCACTGAGAATCGATTCATCCATTCCTGTGAAAACTCACCTTACTTGTGTTCGTAAGTTTCACTCTTATCAAGTTAGGTTCGTTGGGCCTTTAACATATATCTAAATGCATAAATAATACGCATGCATGGCCATACATTTTGATTAATAATTCTTATTTGACCTAGAACGAGAAATCGGGCATAATTTGTTATTGGAGGTGGTCGCATCTTAAAGCGCAAAGTGAAAAGGTGAAGAACTCATCCAGGAAATCAGGAAGCCTAGGAGACTACACGTTCAACTTGCAGAAAGCAAATTGTGAGTAGAAGGTGTTGAAGTTGTTTAGTTTTCATCATGAAGATTTCACTAATTATGGTTGTTGCTTTGTGTGTTGCCACTGATGGACGTTTGTAGTTAGAAAAACGATGATCGTCAACTCTGAGATCTTGTAGTGTTATTGTTCGGCTTGGAGACCTACTGAAAAGCACCACTGTCGATGGAAGTGACTGAAGTTAAAACAACATAAGCAAACGTTAACACCACACAACACTAATGAGCGACTATTCGTCACGAGCTCGGGCCATTTATGATAACAACCTTTGAAATGTTACACTTCAATAGTTCGAGTTCTAATCGATCATTTTGGTTGTTATTTGCCACACATCAGCTTTCAGTGTATTGTAGTAAGCAGGATTATCTTTCTAAAGAAAAAAACAACAAAAAACAGAACAAAGACTATGCAAAAACAATTTATCCTCTTCATCTATTAAACTATCACATGTCGACTTGAGGTGCTAAATATAGAAAGGTTGTTTCGGGTCTGATTCCTTTCTTTTGCCGTCAGACGCAGTTCGATTTTCCTCTATGAAATTTTTAGTTTTCAAGTGTGATTTGGCTTCTTCTGGCCGATTTGAAAAGACAGAAATTAAATCTAGTCTTAAATACTAAGTCGTTGATTCGCTGTTTCCACTCGAATTGCTTTTTATCAACAGACGGATCAATGTCAGTGTCAATTGACAGAATTTGAAATTGTGCTGCCAAAAGCGACGAGTATTTGCATAAAAGGTGAAAATAAACAGGCGGAGAAGTTTTGATGTAGACGAATATGTTCTTTTCAGATTTTAATTAAATAATGTCCAACGTTTATGTGTAAGTCACGCATCAGGAGTGTCTTAAAGTAATACATAGCCTGGGTCGAATAATAAAATACTGCATCGGCAGTGGGATTAAGGTGGCTCCAAATGAAATGTTGATTTAATTTTTTTAAGCATAAATTCTTTGACTGATCAACAGTGGTTTGCCTTTTTTCCTTGAGGAAAGTGCAGTTTTAGTACTTGTAAAGTTTTTTTGACATCATAGGTTGTCATAGTAACATTGTGGCCTCCTAATGAAATACACCCTCGTTACTTTCGTCATATCCAGCGCCTTTTCCGATTGACGCCCCCCTTGAAGTTGGCTGCCACTCTGAGCAACTAAAAGTTGTGCGGAATGTTCGAAGTGAATAAAATTTTTCCAAATATCAAAATATGCTGGACGTTAACAAAAAAAACTTTCTATTCATTTTCGCAGTATAGTACCGCCTTTGAACCCTGTAACCCTGTCAGAGACGACTGATCCCCTCTCTGTTTCCCCCTGAAAATCCCTCCCCCCCCTCACCCCATGCTCCAAGATGATAAATGAATCATAATTGCTCCCTAATGACGAAAATGAATGGTATCCCCTCCCCCTCTGCTCCAAGATGATAGATGAATCAACTGCTCGTTAATGATAGAAAATCTGGAATCGTCTGTGAATGAGAAACATTTCTGCAATGTATCAAGTTCGCTCCTATGATCTCATAATGCGCACTTATACTTCGTAATAACATTAAATGTAACAAAACTCCAGCACCTTCAGATTTGTCCCTACGAAGAAAATACTCGCGCTCGAGCTCTGCAGTTTCTCATCCTTCTGAAATCGGTAAGTGTATGTCAAATCAGTAGGTATTGCTGTTAAAATTCTCAGCGTCTTTCGTGATCATATCTAAGATGGATAGCGAATGCGAAATATCTTTCTTGTTCCCTTGATGGCTTTATCGCCGGTCTCATACCCTTCAAGTTTCGATAGCATATAACTTGTACCTCCAGGGCACTTGAACAAGCTTTTGTCTTTACAATCAAATTCCAACAATAACTATTGACAAATGATAGCAGGTAATTTAGTGTTAACAACTGGGTTGAAAACGTAAAAAAGCTGACGTTTCGAGCGTTAGCCCTTCGCCAATCGCTCTGACGAAGGGCTAACGCTCGAAACGTCAGCTTTTTTACCCTTTACGGTGGCTAATTTGCGTTTTCAACCCAGTTGTTAACACTAAATTACCTGCTATACCCTCCCACCGACGCAGCACCACAGTTTCTTTAGAAACTTACCCCTTTATTCATTTGACAAATGATAGATTACTTCGAATGTTTAATGCTAGAAAGAGAGAAAGGATTCCAATAACAACCTATGTAATCTGATCGTTATCTGTCTCTCTCAGGATACAACACAACATGTTCTTTTTCTTGTCACATTTAATTCCCTTAAGTAGGACTCAACATAGAGAATATGATGTTTGTGACAGGCATAAAACACGGTAAATTAGCGGGTTAACATGGCGACGACAAATGGCGATGCTCCATCTTTACATTTGCTATCGAAGCGGCAGTAAGTAAGAGAGAGAGAGAGAAAGATAGTTGCGCAAGAGAAGGAACTCTCCTCTCTTTTCCTCGGCTCTGTAGAGAGGCTTTTTTTTTTTCCTTTTTTTTTTTTTTTTGCACTCACCGATTATCCAGAGTACCCTGGAGGGGAGTGTCAACGGCGCCGTTCACAACTCTCTTACCTAGAGTAGTTATTATGCCCATTCTCGCGAGATAAACTAGGATGACCTCCCTTAAATTTGGGGTTCTCAAAAATAGTCGTTAAAACCTATGGTCAAAAATTTTAAATACCTTTAAGATTTACCCCCAACTGAGGGAAACGACCCACTTAACTTAGCAAGTGATGATAGTTTCTACCCTTGTTTTTAGGCGAGACTTAAAAGATAGTCGGAACGTATGCTAAAGAAGAATTTGTGGAGCGAAATTTTGCCCCCTGAGAAGTTAAACCATCACAAACTGTGTTGATGTGAATATTTTTTAGTTGTCAACGGGCAGCTTCGATCTTCTTTTTCTTCGGTGAAATCAAACACCAGCGGCCGTCATATTTTTCAAGTATTCCGGGCTCAATCGGGGCTACTCGAAAGGACGCAAATATGGCATCCCCATCAAAATTATTGTTTGACTTTTTGGCAAGTAACTCATCGGCCTAAAAATGGTCTGATTTGAAACGTTTACTCCGATATATAGAGAATAATATATGGGCGCGCGTGTATATAGAATTTCTCTTCGAGTGTTCAACTAGAAGGGAAATTCGTATTTCAGTTTCACTGAAGTGTGTTGTTACGGCTTTTCTCAGAGCTAGAAATCCTTGTATAACACTGTTGTTTATATGAGAAAATGTTTTATTTCTCGGTGTCGTGACAGTAGGAGCCATGTGACCGACAGCGCGGCTAAAACTTTAGAACGGCTATCACAATCGAGGGACTGCTTTACATATGATTAAACGACGTTTATCGATAGCATGCATGATAACCCTCTACTTGACACGAAAAGGTCACTATTATTTATCTGTTCCTAGCAAAGAAAAAGCAGAGGGCGGCTGACAGATGGCTCAATCTCCAGTCCATTTCGTGAGCTAAGCGTAATAAATAAACGGCTCCGTTCCCTTGGCCGCGGTTATTTTGCTCCCCTGTGGAAAAGCTTACTTGAAGTCTGCCTTAACAAAGAAAAGCTGTCAGAATAAGGACACCACAGTGGACAAATTAATATTTACCGCAACTGCGACGCGAGAGAGAATAAAGAAGCTTTTTAAAAAACTTACGACTAGAAAAAAGAAAAAAAAAATGAATGGCTGTAAATAAATCGGGTGGTTATGAAACACAACATTGGTGGTGTTCCTTGAAAATTTATATACGCTATAAGCGGTTATTATGAAAGAAGTGAGTAAAGAGTAATTTATTACTTCATTTTATGAGACTCGATTAGTTTGAGTCTATTCATGGCAGAATTTTTTGGTCAGTGAAATTATTGAAAAAGCAACTTATCTACACTGGTAAACAGAGTGAAGATTCGCTTTTCCTTGGGTGTTGTACAGAAAATCCAGAGCATGATTTTTGATATGCAATCTCATCTCATAGAGAGACTCATTACATTTATGGAGTAGACAACTTCGAGTTAAAAAACTAGCTGGACTCTTCGCATAATTTGCCTTCATTTATAGATACATGTTTGTGTGTGCAATTTTAACCAACTCGTTGTACAAAAAAAAAACCCTCAAGTGTGTTATTGTTCACCTGTTTTTCAGTTACATTCGTTCGAAAGCAAGTTTGAGAAGAACAGCGGGGACTGAGGTCAAAATGTATGATGGCGGAACCCCTACAAATGTGTCTATTGCCGCTGATGATAATTCTACCGGTTTACCAGAGATTGATTCAACCTTTTATTTGGAGCCGATCGCTCTCAAGATATTTCGCTTTGTAATATACGCTGTAATCATCGTTTTCGCCTTGGTGGGAAATGTAGCCGTGTGTATTATTTCAAGTCGTACTCGTCGCCTTCAGACCAGCACGTATTGTTTAGTTATGAACTTGGCCATTTCCGACATCGGATCTGTGCTTTGTCTCCCATTCTTGTTACCTGAACTCTTTATTGGAAACTGGCTGATGGGAGAAGCTATGTGCAAACTACTTAAACCCAGTGTTGTGGTGTTTAACTTTGTAACAACGAACACGTTGGTGGCCATAGCATGTGATCGTTTTCGCGCCGTGGTGTTCCCGTTCGTAACGCGACCATCAAAGTCAGAGACACGCTTGATCATTTCACTTCTTTGGCTTATTGCCTTTTTGTTCTCTTTGCCTATGTATGGTGCAGAGACTGTTATAGTTTTTCCAAATAGCTCTGACATCTATTACTGTTTGGATGTTTTCTCAGACAACGTGGACAAAGACACTCTCTATCGTCGCATTTACACAATTACGATGTATGCTGTACAAGCTCTTCTTCCTGTGATTGTCATCTCGGCGTTGTATCTAAAGATCACAGCCACCTTAAAGAATATACATCTTGTTCCTATAGCACTACGACGCAGTCGCTCTTGTTCACTTAACTCTACGCCCAACATAAGTCCGCATTCATCCATCTTAAATTTAAACAAACTGAACATGAATCCTGCAGGCGCACAGCGGCGACAGATGTTGGAAAAGAAGTTTCTTAGGATGTTGCTAACCGTGCTTATTGTTTACGTGCTATGTTATCTTCCGTTTCAAACGCTGTACCTTGTTTACGAATTTAATCCAGACTTGGACAACCTGAAATTCATGCAACCACTGTCGGAGTACCTTTACATGATAGTGTGGCTGCCAAATGCCATAAATCCGGTTTGCTATGGATTTTTAAACGAGCAGTACAAACGCGCTTTTAAGGCACTGATATTAAGACCTCGTTCATTCTTTCAGTCTGTCAGATTACGGCGCAGGCTTTCCAAAACTGTCATCGCCGAAGTGCAGTTGAAAGATATTGCAGCATAGCAAGCGTAGTTTCCTAACTTGATCTGAATGGAATGATTAAGCATAATGTACTTTCTGTGGTAAACCACCAACTGGGAATCAATTCATTACTACTCTGTTAAAACACTTCTCATCAGTCGCGCTAATTACGCGACGTAGAGTGCTGAAAGAAAATATGTAGTATAAGAATACATGATAGACGAAACAACGATAATTCACTGTATTCCATGTTTTTTCTTCCTCGTCTTTGGGCAAGCTAGGTCCTTTTCCATCTTTGAGGGGCGTTTTAGGCATGGTCATTCGTTTTTTTCTCAACGGTCGTTATGTACTCTTCTACGTCTCTCTTTTTTTCTTCGTGAGAACTGCATTGCAGGGTCCATTTGTGCTGCCATTCGAAGGCTTCTGATCATTATTTTTGGGTAGCGTTTAAACTTAATTGTCTTCGTTCTCACTTGCACAAGTCCCCTTATATTCCCAGTTTTCCCGTGCGATAAAAAATCGCTAGAGTTATTGGTGTCTCAGCCCTGTAAGGTAAAAGGCCCTATATAGAAACAATATTAAGGCATTTTTTATCCTCATTTTACTCATCTAATTTTACGTCTCGCCGAGTCAGAATGGCAGTCGCGAAAGCTGTCACGTATGTTGAGAATTTTATCTTATCGTGTAGTTTTTATCCTCTGATCAGTTCTGGCAGAAGGAAATTCGTTTGAGGGGATATTCCCAAGTTTGTTGTAGGCAAATGGTCACTTTCGAGGCAAGCAAAAAATCACCAGATGTTCACTTTCGTTCGGGTCGCCACATTTGTACTTTTCTGAAAGGCACGAAGGCGCTGAACCCATACTGCTCATAGCAATGAACAATTCATTAATCTGTGGAAAACTGCATAAAGGTAAGGATTAGGAAATTTATTAAGTCATCTTTGATCGACAATGATTTTTCCCTTTTTGCTCCAGGTCTCTTACATTTGATTTAGTTTTGATCGCGTGACATTGGAAACCCTGATGAAATTCTCCGTCCACGCTGTCTCGACCTCGAGGTCTCATCAGTACGCTTGGATATTCTACTAAGTCTGACTCGTTTAATTCATCTCAGTTTTAATGTTCTTTTTTGGTGCATGCCTTGAACTTTACCTAAGAGTTCCAGGGTTAAGTCTCTGTATTGTGGCTATTTGACGGCTTTATCAAAGCACCTCTTTCCCCAATGTCAGCATTTCCTTTGTCCCTCCCGCCTTTTGTCTTTTGCTTCCTTCGAGTCATGATTGTATCATTAATGTGTCCTGCCTTTTCTTTGCAAGCTTAACTGATTTTATCCCAGATGCACTACTAATTGTTACAGTAGAAACCACCTACCATACAATGGTTTCACAGGATAACAACCTATTTCCCTAGGAAGCCTTTCTGTACTTGATGATTTTCTGAAGGTGTGAAACTTGCGATACGAATCCCCTTAAGTATTTTATGTAACTGGCGGTTTTAGGGTTCGTGCGATGTTTTTCAGCCAATTGGTCGAAAAATAAGTACCTAAGCTTACACGAAAGGAAATGTTTAGCTCTAAAATTTTGTATTTTTTCTTGCGCACCAAAACAAGGTATTAACATCATACATCCAAACAATTTAACTACAGCTGCGCAACCAATATGTCTTTGGTTATTAACAAGAACAGAAAGGTGGATAAACCGCCGTAGGAAATTTTTAGTAGCCTTTAGATCTCAGGTGATTTGTTTGCAGGATCATTACTCAACAACCTAGATTTTATTCAACAACAAATCGTTAGATACTTATAAGAAATAAGTATAACCAGAAACAGACCAAAGGAAAGACATTTCTTCTGCGCTTCATTGAATTAAGGCTCTACGATAATTGAGTGTAGTTAGCACTTATACAAACGAACAAAACAAAACACTTGGATAGTGACTATAATCAGTAATGATTGTATCGGGGCCGTTTTTTTTTTTTTTTTTTAACCACTTTTCAAACTAACCTCCTCGAATACAAGTGGGCCAATTGTATACCCTTAAGAGTTACTTTGTGATGATGAAAGTGCGGTTTAAAGAAATGGGACTGTGACAGCCATAAGTAAGTAATTGACTTGAATTCAAATTTCAAGAGAGACCGCACATGCGTTGCAGTGTACGTCAAGGATCTAGCCTCTAGCTTTTCCATACTTCATTTAAAAAAATACACGTGTGATCCATTTTATTTTCAAGAGTGAGACAATCTACAGGGTAAGTGAGCGAAACTTAAACGAGTTTTATCGAAATTGTTAAGACGCTTGGGTAGTATTTCATGGTACTGATATCTTCAATTACTCTTGGGGTTTTGTTGCAGCACTTATGAGCCTATTTCCATTTTTTTTTCAGTGAATCGAATAGTTAAAAAATTGATGAGAAAAACAAGTCATTGCATAATAGACGCCAAGTAGCATTAAAAGGATCGGGATAAATTCAAGAAGGTTTGAAAAATTAGAAAGGTGTTTTTTCACAGTTCCTCGACGAGAAAATTGTTATTTTCAGCGTCAAGATAATGAAAATAAACGAGTTTCGGCTTGGTATAACGAATCATTTGTTTCACTGGGTCCTATGGAAGCAACTTTATAAAAAACTCGTTCGTTCGCCTCAGCGGCAATTCAGAATTTGTTCAACTCGGAGGGACGGACCTACGGATTAGTTGAACACGGATTTCACAGTAAGTGTGGCTAGAGTGAAAATTGAACTCTTCTTAAAACATTCTATCTCAGTGAAATGCCTCAACTTAGCACCAGGAATGGAAATATTGCTAGAATATTGCAATCAAGACAGGAATTTTCAAAATTTATTAAAAAGATTGTCTATTCAATCCTTCCCACTTTTCGTGACTTCTGTAATGGAACAAAAGTAATTATTCTGCTGAATCTTTATTTTACTAGAATTAAATGAAGACACATCGTTTGAATAGAGAAAATAACCCTAAGGCACAAAACGTGTGAGGGATTTGAATTAACATATATTTTATTTTTTAAAAACTTTTCCGGTGTGTCAATTCTGACTCAGAGCTGGTCTTGATAAAACAGAGGTAACTGCATATATATAAAGGGGAAGTTTTTTAAAATAACAAATTTAGCCTGATGCTTGCAATCTAGCTTTCCTCATTTTCCCCTTCTATCTTGAAAGCCCTTCATTGAGAAGAATATACCACAATAATGTCACCTTGTATTTAAATCTAAAAGAAGGAAAGGGCTCAAGTTTCGTTTTGTAATCTCTTACCGTCTAAATCGCAAGATGGTTCACCTTGGCCAAAAATATCTTTCGTGACAAAACAACAAACTTTTATGTGGTGGTGTTCTATAAATTGATAAAGTGTTAAGGCTTCTGTTAATAAGGGAAAAAGGATTCTAATGCGTTGTTGTTCCGTAATTTTGATTGAATACTTATTAGCAACTGACGATTTTCTCACCCACAAAAAATTTCATTCAGCCGTAGCATCACTAAAGATGTCTTTTTAAGAGACCCATACTCGGGAAAAAAACGTACGAAAAAAGGTCATAAAACGAATTTTTTTCCGTAAATGACGGATTAAATATCGTTGGAGCGGAGCACTTTTTAAAAAATTTTTGGGCAAATATTCGAAAAATAAACCTCAACCAGAGATTACTTTCCATTTTAATTTCCCTTTGCTAGAAATCGCCGCGACATCAAGTCTCCTCCCTGTTCAGAGAGTACGTAAATCCGTCAAAATAAGCTACAGAGAGATCGTGGTGTTTAGGTCACGAAAGGGGCTTATAGCCATGAATTGCAAATAAATCTGATTGTAAAAGTAATATTTTAGATCTATTTTGTGAGTTAATTTGTGTTGAATGCTACATAAAACGAAAAAGGGATCAATAAGACTTTTAAAACCTTTATCTAGCCTTAATTACAATCCATCATAGAATACCGACAAGAAGAGCTCCTCATTCAACCTCTCAGGAAAATTAAGGCTTGGCGTAAGCAGTGTCATTTATCAGGAAACATACAAAGCATTAAAATATAAATTGATTAAATGTCAGGTTTAAAATTAAGATTCTGAACGCTTTCACAGTATAAAAGACATTGGAAAGTTTCACGAACATCATTGTGCCAAGTTTATTGATAAACTTGTTCAAAGCTTTTCTAAATTTGTACGTAATATGATATCGTGTCAATCACATTCGTTACTCAATACACCTCAAGCCTTTTGTTGAACACTTGCCTTCTACCATTGTAAACCCTTGAAATTCTAAATAGAGAGACATTAACTTTAAATGCCATATCTCTTGGCTGTCCACATTTAGTTGCTAAATTATTCGTAATTAATCCGTATTCGTTTGTCTTAGGCGTAACATATATTACAATGTCATAGTTCTCCGACAAAATTAAAAACATGCTATCGGAAATAAACCTCACATTTTGGTCAGACTTTACTTTATTCTTAAGCCTTGACTTAGTTTTACGAATAATCTTGTAACTTTCCGTAGCTTTCAATACTTGCTGCAAACTGTAAAAACACTTCTTCGGACGTCAGTATGAATATTAATGCCACAGAAGGACTTCTTGATTGCTTTTTCGATCTGCGTTTTCACAAAGCATTAAAATTTAAATTGATTAAATGTCAGATTTAAAATTAAGATTCTGAACACTTTCACAGTATAAAAGACATTGGAAAGTTTCACGAACATCATTTTGATTTTGGCGTTCAGATCTCTAAGCTCAAAATGAACAATACATCAGAATGCATGGTCACCATAAACACTGCAGCAAAGTCTACCATAACAGCACTGGTATTAAGTGCCATTGCGCTGGTTTCTCTGCTTGGAAATAGTCTTCTTATACTCGTTTTCTTCAGATCAAAGGCTGTAAAGAAGGCAACGAACGTGTTCATAATCAATATGGCTGCTTCCGATCTCTTTTTTCCTGTTTTTCTAATTCCGCGTCAAATTATCGCGGCCATTACAAGATCGCCACCAGAATTATTCCTCATCCGTGGAGCCATGGGTTCCTTTCTTTGCAAGATCTCCACCTTCCTCACTGACGTGTCCATTACAGTGTCAATGCATTCCTTGGTCATGATTACCATGGAACGGTTTCTTGCTATCGTTTTTCCATTCAGAATTCGTCAACTCTCTTCTAAAACACGTCTCTACGCCATTTTGATGGTGTGGATCATAGCGTTGGGGATTCACACGCCATACTTCTACATATATAGATTGACGAGTTCAGGAAAATGCGATTACAACTGGGAACCAGCATTCAACCACAAAATTACGCACACCCGCTATTACACCGCCTTGTTTGTGCTGATTGTCATTTTGCCCTTCACTTTGATTACCATCCTTTATTCCGTGATGGTTTGTTGCCTCTTCCTGAACAAGCACAAGCTTGTAATACATCGCTCCAGTGAGAATGCTCCTAGAAGAAGAAGCGGAGCAAAAGAACTCAGAATGTTAAAGATAGCAGCGACTATTGTCATTGCCTTTGCAGTATGCTGGGGTCCTTTCAACATCATACAGTTCTTTCACCTGTTTGCCCCATGGAAACTTAAAGAACTTAATTGCAACATCAGTCATGTGTTGATTCAAATTGCCTTTATTTTGGCGACTGCCAACTGCACGGTTAATCCAATCGTTTGCCTCGTCTATTTAAGGAACTACCGTTTAAAAGAGAGTTTGGCAAGTTTACGGTCACAATTCAGCAACATTTCTAAAGGGAGTCAACGAGAAACTGAATTGTAAAATAAGCACCAGGTGGTTAGTTCAAGTGCACTTATTACGCATGCATTTAAGAAATAAGTACCTTTGCTCATAATTTGGTAATCAAGTTTTATCAAGAGATATGGTAAATTCTTGAAGAAAACAGTCCAAATAGCCAACAAAAATCTTTTTGCATTTTACAGTAGAAAAAAAAAATGCAAAAAAATTAATAAAACAAAACAAGTCAAACTTCAGAAAAATGAGTAAAGAATTAGTCCAACAAATGGGTGAAAAAAAAAACCAAGAAACAGAAAACGAGAGTAACAACAACAGTAAACAAAAGTGTATTGTTGTGCCGATACCAACAATACCGTAGGGAAAAAAATTGAGTTTGCAAAACCAGCGGGCCGTTTTCTTATTCATGGTTTTGTCCAAAATTTTCACTTGAATCTTTCGCTCAGCTATAGCCGTTTAGATCAAACAGGTGACATGAATTTACAAGGTACTCCCTTTTTTTTTCATTTATCTATTCGTCTTTTCTCTTTCCAATGTGCACATATATGGTGATAATTTAAGCTTATAAAGCCTATCTTCTGGAGTCGTTGAATACTTAATTTTAATACTTAAAAGTACTGTGCGTATATACATTTAACATGCCAAGCACACATACAGGGGCCCTTTTACCATTTCCTTTTTTAAGGAAGCAAAAGCCTCTCAGTACCTCTCATTATAGGTTATTGATTGATTTTACTCCTCTATAAGTATCGTAAGAAGGTATATGTTTAGATTTCAAATTGGACTAGGCTGTTATTGTTACATCAATAGCTTAGCTTGATTAGTTTTGAGCAGTTTTCATTAATTGAAAGCAATGTGAGATTTAAATTCTCAACGCTCCAATTTTTTTTTCAAACAACACACACACATCTCCTCAACCAATACTGATATACAAAACTAAAAGAATTTCTATAATATTTTGCGTGTTTTTATACTAATTTCTCATTGCCTTGTTGCGATAAATACTTTCGCTTTGATTGACCTTTGTAATTTCTAAATTTTAGGTCTTCCAATATTTAAAGGAAAAGTACTTTGTCTCTGCGGCATCAGTACTGCGACTTGATGATCATTTACTATTTGCATTTAGCATAATTTATTAACTGATACAAATATTGGCTGACTCCGCTTTTTAGTAATTTGGATCCTACTTCGGTCGAAATTATCGATGCAAGAGTATTAGGATAAGACGTGTCCTGACTACTTCTTGGTGGTAGCCTGGTTTAAAATATTCAGCAATATTGTTAAAACATCATTAAATTTTACCTGGGCCATTTTTAAAATTTTAATAAAGTGTTTAATCTTTGGTAAGGCCTTGGTAATAAAAATGTGATGTAGAGTTGAACCTGAATAATTTTTGTGGTTTCGATAGGTGATATCATTTCTTTCGGAACTAATATGATAAATAAATAAAATATATTTGATGAATGTTAACAGGATGCAAAGCTTAATAGCTTTGATTTGAAATGCACCTAACTAGCAGTTACCTAATAAATATAAGATGAATGATGGTGTACAGTCATGTTACTATGTAGTAAAATTCTAAAACTGAGAAACAATCTACTTTGTACTCAGAATAACAAAGATAGTAAACATGGAGCTCGTCCGCGAAAGGAAGGAAAATGTTTCTCGTTTTGTCGCGAGCATAAGACGATAAAACCCCATGAATCTACATCACTAGACTAAGTGATTTGTTCAATGCAGGAACTCAAAAAATGCTCTTAACTTTGCTCATCCTAGCAGTGGAAAAGGAAGGAAAAGGGTTTTTTTTTTTGTGGGCACAGGACGATAAAACCCCAAGAATCTACGTCACTAGATTAAGTGACATGTTCAATGCAGTAACTCGCATAATGCTTTCGACTATGACAGGAAACCTGTCACATATTAGCCTACGCGTGGCCTTATCCTCCCCCCAAGGGTCTGCTGTTTGACCCTTCGTGGGAGACGCAGATTTCAAGTTTTTGTGCGACACTCGCGACAAAACTGATAACAGTGTTTCCCTATGAATTTCTTGTTCTATCTGAGCCAATGTTCCTTTCCTGTATACATAAGAAGATATCCTGAAGTCATGAACCAGAGAACATTCGTTTGCCACATCTGTGACGGGGTCTTTCGTCCGCATTTAGAAATTTCAGATTTTTAAACACAGCACACATTGCCCGCCAAAATCCCTGTCGATCTTAATGGGAACAAACTATGTAAGAAGATCAGATGAAAACCTAAAAGAGCAATTCTAATGATGTAGTCAATCTACTAACTCCTTGCAATGGATGGTTAAAGATTGTTCTCATTCTTACTTAATTTCATGATCAACTCGTCAATACCTCAGACGGCAACCCTCATACTAGCCTGTTGCAAAGACAATAACCCGACAGCCAAAGCCCTGGCACATGTTATGAGCCACGGAAAAAGCGAAAATCTGTTAGCTGGAACAAAATAGAGCCTTACGCACCCGATTGTTTTGCAAAGGAAATTTTAAAATCCCACAACCATAACTAAGAGTTGGTATTTCTTTTATTCTGTAGTCACTTACTAATACAATCCGACAGTATTCAGACTAGCTCTCATCTACTAAAAAATTCAGCTCATCAGTTTATATACGTGACAGTTAGACAAAAGCTTTGTCTAATGTCATCATACCACACTTAATGCACGATCAGGTTAAGCTATGTACAACAGACCCGCATACTAAAGTCTTCGAGATGTTGACTCTTTTCGAAATGACCTTCTAACTTAAAATTTCATATGTTTTCAGTCAAGATCCTGGTAGAGAATTTGATATGGAATTCATCCAAAAGCGAGACTAAAGGAGATCGAACATTTCCAAGAAATTCTTGTGTAGAGAACAACTTTGACCAGAGCAATTTACTTTTTTCACTAACAAGTGGATATTAACACATTGGAATCTAACTTAAACACATATTTCTTCCTCAAAATTAATGGCAACTTGATGTAAATATTTTGAAACATTACATACACTATTTTTGGGGGGTAAGAGGGGATTACAATTACTCTACCACCATAGAAATACGAGATGATCAACAGCTTTTATATTTTTGCGGAATGGCTTACGATAATATATTAATTCCAATCATTTTCCCAACACCTAAATAAGCCATAGCACATCTACAGAAAAAAAAAATTGGGTTTTGATGCCAATTTTTTACTTTTAAAAAAATAAAGTAATTTGGTGAGAGGTGAAAACCGAACACCCCTGCTTTTCTAATTGGAAGTAATGAAAATTAACATGCTTGTTTTAAAAGAGGTGACTTGTCTTGCCCAGAATTCATGTTTCTTCACCTCCAAATTATTTGTAATGGTATTAGTCGAGGTTCCTCATAGAGCTGGGGAAGGAGATCGAAATCCCTATGTGCAGACCAAATAAATCTATTTTATTCACTAATTTCTTACGTCAAATTTTTACCTGAAAATCCTTCCCCATTGTATATGTCAAATCTAAACGCCTTTTTAATATGGTTAATACAAACCGAATAAAATCGGTCGATGTAATCTTTTGATGCAAGTGCACGATGACTTCGCTGGTTGGCCTTAATCCTTTAGCTCCTAAGAGTGACCAGCATCTAATTTCTCTTTGCTATATCACACTGAATCATACATGAAAGTCACGAGAATAGAGGAAATGATCACCAACTAAAGCAGCTCCTGATTGTTAAACAAACTCTCCTTGTTAACCTTATTTGGAAATTTATGGAGAGCAGTATGGAGAATATGCATGCTGATGTTGGGGTGTAAAGGGTTAATCTCAGCATTCACACCCTACAGAGGTAATAACTCGAACCATCCTCGCTCCACTTCCAAGTACGTCAAGCACGTCGTCATCTGAATCCCTTTGTATATAAAATCGTATACTGGACCCTGTAATACAATCAGGTAGAAAAATAACAATACGCAGAGGAGTGAAACTAAGCCGCGATACTGACCGTGCAAAGCTACTCGATCTAATGTTGTAAACTGGAAAACCTATTATTTTATAAGTTGTCTTTATCAAATTTCTATTTTCTTAGTTTTTCCTGTTTTTTTTTTTTGGTTCTTTTTTTCCTGTATTCTTACGCCAAAAAGCATCGCAATGATGGTAACGAATTCTTTAAGGAAAGAGTCAGTCTATCATTTGATTTTTAAGAAAAAAATGAAAGCCAGAGTTAAAGGTATGTTGATTAATTGGAACAATGTTTTAACTCTGTTCCAATTAAAAAAAGACTTGCAAGGTTTTGAAACTGAACGAAATGATAAAACATGTTCAATGAACAGACCCATCGCATCGCAAGTGGTTTGAAAGACTTTGAATATTCCCTAATTCCACTTTACTAAAAGGCAAAAACATGCTTGTAACCAGAAATTCTCCTCAATCAGCCTTAATTAACATAAAAAATTTCATTTACAATCAAGTTAACTCGCGAAGCTGTCTTATAAAGGTGAGGTGAGGAGCTTTAATTCGAACGCGACTGACACCGATAGCTCGGATTTAGATGTACAAACGAACCGTTTTGCAGTTTAACAAACCAAAAGAAGAATATAGGCGTTGCTTTTCAGGTCTCAGGAATGTTCTGGCGTAAGATGGATCCCCTTCAGCAGGATAATTATTGCAGGGCGGATCGGCGAAATGAAGGAAAAAATTATATCTCTCGTCGATGGAGGCTTTTCCCTCCAGGCCGCAATAGCCCGAGAAAAAAACATCTCGCGTGCGAGCGTATAATTATCTCAATCGCTTAGCCGATGAAGTAGGCAGTGTGTATTTGCCTTCTCCAAGGTGGTGCTGACGAGAGGTGAACATTAAACACTGGAAAAGATCTGTATAAAATCGCGACTTTCTTAAGTTTGGGTTTCCTGGTCTTCGCCAACGTGAATGGTTGACTGATCACTGCTTTCAAATCGATGCATGACGTCCTTCACTTCGTATTTCCGTGAGCGTATATACTTTTTACCATATCTTTTACTCTTCTTTGCATAACATCGAGATTGTATCTTCTGCATCATGAGTTTCAGTTCATTTTGAAACTGTGGGATAAGCAAAAGGCAAAGCCATGAGTTTACAGCACAATAACAACTCGCCAAAACGTACGAAATATAGGAAACTGTCTGGTAGCCCTTATTGCACTCTGGAACCAACCAAGGTGAAATGAGCCTAATGGAAGTTAAAACGATATGGAGCATCCAGCAGATCAAAAATGCAGTAGTAGTAGAAATGGCCATCATGAGGAATGTCCGAGTGCGTCTTCGAATCCGTCTTGTTCCGTTCTCGCTTCGACATGAACTCATTTTGTCCTTTCGGAGACGCAAAGCCACTATTATGTACAAAACAGAAATGGCGAGTAGCGGTAGAATCAACACTGTTGTGTATAGAAATATATTGTATCGATAATGCGCTGACTCGTTATTGAAAGCTGGTTCCCACCTCGGTAGACAGATTTGAATCTCATGGCCATTCATAAAAAATCTGATTAGTCGATGAGTATAAAAGTATGGCGAGTGAAATGCTGCAGCCATGATCCATGTTGAGGCGAAGAAAACGCGACGTCTCACTCTAGAGGTATTCTTGTATTGAACAGGATACACCACTGCAAGGAAGCGCTCAATAGCGATAACAACCATGCTCAGAGTCGAAACAGATAGCGACGTGTCGCCTAGGAAACTGCACATCTTGCACAAAAATGTGCCTCCATTTCCATGGACAAGGAAAGCACCGGATCCATTGATTTCGTTTGTAATGAAGCGCGGGAGTAAAAAGACTGCCGTCAGAAGGTCCGATGCTGCCATGCTAGCGATCGCTAGCAGGACTTTTTCTTTCATTCTCACGAATGCTGTAATAAGGAGAGAATTTCCTATCAAGGATGCAAACAGCGTGAAAATGTGTATTGTAGCTGTGAGTTGGCTAAGATCCGTGCTTAAGCAATGTTCTGGAGCAGGCGTGCTCATGTTTCTCTGACTTGTCTCAAGGACATTATTGAAGGACGCATTTCCGATGGCCGCCATTCTGTCAACTAAGGATCGTAAACAATGTGGAAAGCTGGATTACAACTTACGCACCAACCAGTGTGGTCGAGTTATCCACCAAAGCGCCAATCTGAGGGTGCAATTACATTCGCTTTAGTTTCACTCAAAAAAAATCAAACTTAACGCGTTCTTTTCGTAGTTGGAAAATTAATTGACGAAAAATGAATAAAGGGGACCAATCCGAACCTGCCGCTGTCACTTATGACAATGTTTTATTATTTAAAACAGCTTTTCCTTTTATGATATTTAAACAATTTACTCCTCGCCTATTGTCCGGATACTGTTGATAAAAGCATATTTGATAGGCGGTAATATTTGAAAGGTAAACTGTTTTAAAAGTTACGTCTTAAAATACATTAAAATCACCGTTTTGAGAAACAAAACAAATATTAAACAACATGTACTATTGGGCAACGAACGAGTCTTATCTTTCCGTGCTGAGTACTTGGATAAACATCTCCTTTTCTCGCAACGTGTAACCAAATATTGTTACAGTTAGCGCAATTTTCCCGTGACTTACTTGAATTTTAAAAAGTTTAATTCCTAACGTTGATATCGAACACAAGCAAAATTTATTTATCAGTTGTATAGGTTTTGTCGTTGGCTCAGAATATGTAATAGTTTAGTAATTGAGGCCCCAAGGTTTGACAATATGGTCACGTCCGGCACGAAATAAACAGAAAACGTGTTTTAACGCTACATATGATATTCAACCGAACAAAGACGCAAAGTTATCAATATAATCTTTCCATTGAAGCTTGAGTTAAAAGAATGGCGTGCGAGACTTTCGCTTCAAAGCCTTTCTTATTGATATGCAAAAAAAACGGAAAATACAAAAAAAAAAAAAAACAAAACAAAATAAAATAAAAATAAGCGCTTGCCTTTTCGTGTTTGCCAAACTCCTGTCAGAAATATCACTATTGACTATTTTCATTTACCCTTCGAGTATACTATGTCCATAGATATATTACTTTCTTTTTTTCTTGTTTCCTTTTAAAGTGAGTCGGGCGAGAACTTTCCTTTTTTCCAACCTGAATTTCGTTACTTGAACTTCTTCAAGAGTTTAAAACACTGACGAAGTTTAGTTTTTTCACACCTGCAATTGCAAAATGCTACTTTACCTGTCGCAGTCTCACCAAGATAAATAATTAACTTACCGTCAAATAAATGAGTGTTTTCACCTAGAATCACCAGAACTGAGAGTACAGTGAACTTGTATCTGGGGACTGCTAATGATGCTCAGTAAAATAGGTAAAAACGGCGAGGATTTACGCAGCTCACTCATTATGATATTTTTTCATCTTGCGGTGGCAGTCGACAATTACACTTAGTAAATGGCCTCAAATAAAAATTTTCGAAGTAATAATCCACCTGTTACTCGTATTTTGTGATGTCAACAGAATAAATGAATAATATCTTGACAAATTGCCAAGGAATTGGTATTTGGTAAATGTGTACAGCTACTTGATAATCTTTCGCTTTTACCCATGGTTCAAAGGAGACAAAAATGATGTTTTGCAAAAATACTCGACGACGTAACTACACGAACCAAATGTAATGCGGGTTTCCAAGATGCTTAACCTAACAAGGTTCTCTAAGTAAGTGAAGAGGGGGCTCTCAGATAGAAAATTATCCAAAATCCACCTTCAAACCGCCTTGATACAAACTAAACGATTTTTGTGGAAACCCCACACAGCAATCGCCCACGACTGCGTCTATAATCCTTTTACAATTACACGCAGTGAATTTGAGAATTAATGGCCGATCTGATCCATGAACGCTTTAAAGTTTTGTAAATCATTCGCTTTATTGTTTGAAATTTGAGTGTTCTTTCAGCTTCGAATATAAGTATATCATGCTATAAAATTTCCATAGTCGATTGAAAAATTTTATGTATATGCAAGTCTAACCTCATAGAGAAACAATAAAACCCGATGTTCATTTTCCTCCAGATCATATTTCTATTTTTTTGTGGTTTTTCAGTTAGCTTAGTTACTTTTTCAAAGTCGTGAAAATGAAATATTGCCTTTCTGGTTTAATTCGAGAGTGGTTTTTAATGGACGGAAATCATGTTTCTCATGTAGAATTTCTGGATAATGTTAACGATTCATCTCCAAATGATGCTTTGGCCGACAAGCTGACGCTGTTTAACATCGTATGGTTCTCAAGAACGGCTGGCCAAAACTGCCACTCACCCACCAAAAGAAAAATTAACGCTTTAGCACCGATGATCCAGGTGGAAACGAAATAGGGAACTGACGAAAGAAATGGAAGGAAGGTAACCAGAGCACAACATATGATTATTTAGTATTTCTCAGTTTCCACGGCGATTTTCAGAAAATTATATTCCAATCGTGACAACCTCTTGAAAGTGAAGTAGCATATGGGTGGATGGTTTTGAAGCCCATATTAAGTTTTTTTGACCGAGTTCTTAGCCTTCTATAAAGACTTGTTCCAGAAATGTAACATAAAGTAGTTATTTATTTAGTTTGATAAATAAATGATAGATTTTTTTAAAAACACTACATCTAAATTCTTGTATCACGCACGACATAAGTAAATTGACTAAAGAAATTGAAAGGTAAACGAGCCAAAAAATGTTTAACTATGTGTGTCATGTACTCTTTATCGACTATTTTGTCAGTTTAACAAGAGTGTTTTACTTTCTCCGCTTTAGAGCTGAATTCATTGGTTAAAATTTCAGAGCCTACTGAATGCAACCTTATAGCATTCCCGATAGATCGGTCAAGTGGAACTTAAAGGTGCATTTGGTCAAATTACAGCAGATGTTTCAATTTGAATTGGAAACCCTCTGTCAACTGTATTCGGCCATTTTCTGATGGACTATTTTTATCTTGAGTATGTGCCATTTCTTTAAGATGTCTTCTTCTAACATTTAAAGTTGTCGTATCAAGCTTATCCTAATGTTTATTTTTTGCTATAGAAACTAATTAGATTGTGTTTAGCACTTTTATTTTGTTTCTTGTATTTTGAATCATGTCAAAATATTTGTTATAAATAGAAAAATTCTGGCTGAAGAAGTGGTTAGGAAACCTGGAAAACCAGCCACAAAGAAACAAAAAACGATGCTGTCGTTGTTGCAAGCTCTTAATGTTCACAAATGATGTTCACGTTGTTCTAAGACTACGTAAATCAATAAAACTTTCTGCTGGTCAGCCAGTTTAATATGATTGGAAAGCTGTTGAAAAGTGCATCGCTAGATTCCTGTCCGGATAAATCTAAAAGCTGAAAGCTAGATCGGGTCCCCTCACAAGAAGTGATAGTTTTAAAAGATGTGATCCTAGCCTGTGTGTGGTATTTTACACCAAAAAATAATTAACGATAACAGCGGCAAAAATTATTATTTCTAGTGCTATACCTACCCAAAGTTCCTTACTCCTCGTTCAGATGGAAAGTTAGACCAAAGGAGAAATAAAGAGATATCAATATAATAATGGAAGTAAAGTTTTCGGTCAAGTATGCCAGAATTTCAGGTCTGTGGCCAAATTCTTAATACCAGCTGTCAATATTCGACTGTTTGCGTGATCAAACTATTGAACAGATTGCAGACGAAGAAACGCCCAAACAATTATTGATCGAACTGCACGCAATTTTCATTGGTTATACATCATAACTCACAGCGAGCTTGTGTTTAACAACAATATTTGTGACAATTATAAGCGTTTCATCCCCCAAACTGCTCTCATCCAACTTTTAATTATTCGGTCGATCTCGGAAAACAGTACATACGAACTTTTACTCTTTCAATATCAAGCAAATAGGCCTGTTAAGATTTTAAAAGCTAGAAGTCTGATAACAAATCCGACAATAATTTCATTATTCCACTTATAAAGATACTTTGATGGTGCGTATTTTTCTTTGATATTTAAAAATCATTCACCTAGGTGGAGGTGAATAGTGATGGTGTTTACCGAGCCGCGAAGTAGGTGGTGGTAAATATTCACCACTTCCACTGATACTGTGGTGAGTATTTTTTTCGTATATACCGCACAGAAACCAAAGAGATTAGTTTATCTCTCTAAATTTGCCAAAAAAATGGTCGGAAATTAAATTATTGACGCGGGATTTTGACTCTACGGCCACACAGAGGTGAATAGTACTTGGTAATCACTTACAAACCACCAATCAGAGCGAAACAAACGAACTATTAACTGTGTAGTTTATACTAATGTTGTAGATATATCTTTTTAATTGCGACGTCTTCGCTATTTTAATTACACAATTTGTAGACTTTTTTCCATCATGGAACACCACAGAAGTACACCTATAGATTACGATTAAATGATGATTTAGTAGAGATATTAATCAAGCAACTTCCATTTTTATGTGGAAGACACGAAACAAATTACTAACACAAAAGAGGACTTGGTTGAGAAAAAGAGCGAAGAAACAAACAAAAAAATAACAAAAACACTTTCACTTTGTTTTAGACCAAGTTAGATAATGAACTGAATTTTATAATAGTAGGCGGTGACGTATACGATAAGATTTTAAATTATTACTTCACTTTTCCGGTTTTTAAAGATGCCATGATTTAAAAGGAAGTCCACCAGTGGCGAACACTCCATCGACGAAGAAGGCGTAACACCGTGACTTCCGTTGTAACGAGACGGGGAATTTCAATAACTGTCACAAGTAGGTCGGATGCAGCCCTGTTAGCTATGAGAAGCATAAGTTTTTCTTTCATTCTCACGTATGCGGTTATAAGAAGGAAATTTCCTATAGGCAATGCTAAGAGAGTGAGGATGAGTATCGCCATGGTAACTTCAATCGGAACTACCCTGATGATACACATTTCAGATGAAGGGTGTCGTTGCTGTTTCCGATTTTCTCACCGTCAAGAATGGACGTGTTTCGTCTTGAAGCCATCATTTCGGCGATGAGGAAATAAGAACTGGCGCTTGTTATCTCTGATCTCACATACGGTTAACTGCGCTTTTTTAACATCGCAACGCAATTAAATTTGCGTAAGTGCCCTTAAATTCATGGAGTGACGTTGTGCTAAGAGCTTGAAAATTTGTGTCTGTGTGATTTAGTTATTTTCGAGGAACTGGACCCATTATTCTTTTCAAGAAAATTTATTGTATGTTTTCGCCAACCGTTTCTCCTTTGTAAAAAGGTTTCTTTCAATGGTTATACATTCCCTTGAAATTAAATTAATTTTTCCGTTCGGCAAGGACGCTCACTGTCACTTTCTGTCAAGAATGAGATGATTGCTGATAGTCACAGCTGCCACCTTTTGTATGTAGAGCAAATATTTTAATTGTTGTTGTAAGGCTTATTTTGATAACAATACATTCATGAATTTGTGGAGAGCAGGAGGACAAAACTCCTTTAAACGATTGTAACAACAAGATGCAAGTGAATGGAATCGTTGTAAGATGCCGGGGTTGTGAGGATCCAGAGTAGGAAGTTCTTGGCCTACATTGTTGCAAATGGAAACGCACAATGCAATCATTACGAACGTTTTTGAAGTCTCCCCCGCTTCATTTGAAACCTACTGAATCTTTTATTCTTCTTTCAAAACTTTTCTCTTTTTCTTGTAAGATTGGATCTCACTCTCTGTACATAGTAGACGTACCACTTGTAATTTATTCAATAAAATGTATGGCAAAATTACTATCGGCCAGCTGTTACTCTAGGTGACCAATTTAACCTTGAAAGGAAACGATGTTTGCGCTAGAAAAGAGCTAAGAAGAATCAGAAAAATTGAAATTTCAAGGAAAAATGATAAGGTATATGAATTGGGCGATTTTAACAGACAGAATAATTTTAAGAAATAGGATTTTTATATCTTGAAAGAAAGCTAAGAAAACATAACCCTCCTGTTACACTCTTTGATTCTTTGAGCACTTCGGAGAAAAATTGAAAAAGAAAAATTGACGGCAAGCGAAGGCAAGGACGATCACGAAGAGGATGGATGGATGATATCAGGAGTTGGTCACAACATTTCACTCGACAGAACAATACGAAGAAAGCTTACGGATACATCCGTAGTCCCCTACCTTCGGTCATGAGTATGGCAACAACCAAGCCAGGCAAATCCCTAGTAAGTTTGTTTTGAGAAAGATATTCAGCGGGATTAGTTCATTAGCATGCTTTGTTTTATTTCAGCTCATAATTTGCAACTTCGGCTTAAGAATTAGAAAAGACAAGATATTCTAGTTTTACGTCGACATCAACCACTCCTACTCGACAACAACTGTTTTCGAATAGATTCGAATTGAAAGTGGTTTATGAAAATGATCATAAATGTAAGTTGTTGAAGGAATGTTGATGCAGAATTGAAAGTGCTTCACATGCAAGTAAAAAACAGACATTTCCTCTAATCTGAACATCAGCTCTACATTCATTTCCAATTGGCAGACCCGCTAATTAAAACATTTTCTTTTGAGAAGAGAAAGTTCAAGTCTCAAGAACCGAAAATTAGCCATGGCCACAAAAATAGAGTACTAATGGGCATTCAATGAATGGTTTTTCTGGCGGAAACATTTAGTTTTTTGCATTCATTAGGCCTTTTAACTTCAAACAAAGGTTCTGCTGACAACGATCAACTAGAATCAACCAATAACAATTTCTACGCTTGTATCTCATATGGCTCTAGACTTGGGACTGAGAATTTTACCGAAATGCAATCACGCCATCGGAGAGAGGAAAGAATCTCAGAATATGAGTTACCTCATTGGACTGACAAAGACCAACACGCTTGCAAACATTGGAAATCGAATGAAAAGTGTATTTTTTTAAAATTAACTTTCTGAAACTTAAAAGTTTAGGTGCTTGTGGGTATAAAATGGTCCAATGTGTCCAAAGTCACAATGCATTATCAGGCATCAAATGAAACGACACGTCAAAAGATTGCGATTGATAAAATTTTCATGTTAATTTTAGGTTAAGTTGGCGATATATACCGGAATCGAAGGAAACGAGGAGGGGGGTAGGGGTGGGGTTGAGCTTTTTTCCCCGAAATTTTTACTTGTGGGTGGAGGGGGGGGGCACTGATTCCCCCTGTTCCCATTCCCCTTCTCCGTCGCCTATGGAGAAGGCTGAGGCTGTATTGAGACAAAATATTGATCCTTCTTGAGTATGGTGACGTGAGGATGCCTTCACAACATCAGCCGTCATCACAGCTATTCCCGAGGACTTGTTTACAGCTTTTATCAAAACAGCCAAAGAGCGAACGATTTTGAAAACAAATTATGTCGATAGCGAATAAACTATATGGCTAAACCTTTCCATCGCATAGCTTCGTTTTCCAAAGATTTAGCAATTTTAGATTCCAGTATCACTTACACAAAAACGACATCAATTTTTCGGGTGGAATTTCTGCAGCCTTTATTTATATTTGTTAACATGGGTTATGGACTGAAAGTTCCTTTCTAAGTTCAATGTATATACTTAAGCACTTATTCACTCAAGCTCTAATAGATTACTATTTTCGGGATTTCGACGATCGGTATTTATTTATTGGAGAGCACGCATTCATTTTTACTATGATATTGTAAATTATTTTAATCATCTGTTATTGTTATATTTTCCACCTTGGTTTTCGGTGCCGTTTTACCATAAGATGTTGTTTTCGTCGTTTTCTTTTTCGCCAGCTGTTAATTGAAGAATCCCGCCGATTTGAAGAGCTTTTAGTATTGATGTCTCGGGTACGTTTACAATTTGGATCCGAATCAGCAACTTTATCACGAAAATAGAACATAGGTATTTTTCTACGATAAACAAAATTCAAAGTTAAAATTAAAACAATAGCAGATCGACATGATGTCTGTGAAGGTGACATCCAGCAGGAAGGCGAAAGATATGAAATTTATACTTTAGGGAGATGATTATTATTGTTTACTGTTTCATCTTTTAGTTCATCTTCATTTGCATAAGTGCAAAAAGGGCTCACAGACCGTTTACCAATACTCACGGCGCGACGAAACGACTCCTAAATTGAAATATTAAAAGCATACTCGAAAAGCTTACAAGCCAGGAGCGGAAAGGCTACCGATTTACGAGCTTTTTGAGTGTTCTTGTAGTATTACATATGGTATAAAGATAAAAATGGAATCTACACTCCTTACACTTAAATCCATAATCTACCATTTTACGCGAAATTTATTTGTTTAAGCACTAGGGAGCCGTTCTTAAAGTTCGTGACAAAAGCTGCTGCGTTCAAGAAGGACCAAGCTTGATTCTGGATATACCTTTAAATGTAACCGATAGCCACTTTCAGTAACAGGACAAACAGCACTTAGTTTCGATTCGTTGTGTGTTAGTCTATGCCAAAATTCGTTTTATAGTCAGGGTAAGAGGCAAGTTAAAATTTTAACTCAGTCCAATATTAAACGTAGAAGCAAGAATTTTCCTCGCGCCAAATCTCGTTATCCTTTAATCACACGTGGGTAAAATTACGAGAAGCATGGATTGGGTGTTAATCACTTTTATTGGTGCGTTAGTTAGTATCATTAACGGTTAGCTGGGAAAAACTCAGCTTTGGAAATAAAACCTGCTGTACAAAGTGCCTGATGAGGTTTTCTCAGTTCACTTGAGCCAAGCATTTGATCCAATAATTGGAAATCGAAGCAAAACACGAATACATTTGATATAAACATTATGAAACCAAAAAGATAGAGAGCAGTGTTTCACCAATAGAAATCCGTCAGACGTCCTTACTATATTGTAAATTGATTTTGTTAAGGTCACAAAGTAAAGCGGAAATTTTCGTTTATCAACAGCGCCCAGTTGTATAAAGGGTGGATAAGGCTATCCAACAGATAAATCGCTATCCAGCGGATAGGTGATTGCAAATCCGTCTCTATACCGCCGTATAGAGTTTTATCTGTTGGGCAGCGTTATCCAACCTTCAAACAACCTTCAAACAACCAGGCCTAGAAGGTGTAAAGGGAAAAATGAGTGTTTTAGGGCAAGAAAGGATGAGGATTAATTGAGGCGATTGAAGTAAATTCTCTCCATTATATCTTTAGAGCATGACAATATCACGTCCAACCTGGTAAATCAAGGTCAAGAAATTAAAGGAATGAACGAAGCCAGGATTTGGCTCTCTATATCGATGTTATTATGTAGCAACGCAAAGAGCCAATATTTCAACACTGCTATGTTACGGAACTCAGGTTATCTTATCTTTTGTGCAATAGAAAAATGAAATAGCTTACTGGGAAAAAAAATAGCACACTTGGAAAAAATAACCAGAAATTAGAGGAAAAAAGACATAAAGGAAAACGTGTTATTGAGGAAAGAGATGTAAATTAAAGGAAACTATGTGTGGAATATTATGTAACAATACGGACCAATGGACTTATCAATTATCAACAGGAAATGTGTGGCTTGTTCTTGGCGAACCTTGGTGAAGCCGGAGTTAACTCTTTAACTCCTCAGTATGCATATTCTCCATACTGTTCTCTATACATTTCTTATTGTGCTGGCAAGGAGAATTTGTTCAACAATCAAGAGTTTCTCCAGTTGATTGTCATTTCCTTTGTTCTCGTAACTTGAATGTTTGATTCAGAGGTGATATTGAAGGATAAATTAAATGCTTGTCACTCTCAGGGATTAAAGAGTTAATGCACTTTCTTCATTGTCAACTTTTCATGCAAATTAAAAAAAAAAGGGTTTAAATTAGTAGATGGGTGCTGGCGATAATACCTCACAAGCATACATAATTTGTAATGAACAGATATTTTGATTTCACATCTTGTTCAGCGTAAATATTCAATTCCTTTTTAAAGAATTTTGTGTACTTTCAAACTTCTGTCTCATACACGAAAGCCAGCAAGGGAACATATATAAGTTAGAAATAAATTGAATGCGTTGATTATTCTCATCTCCGAGATCAAAATCGACATTTACAACTTTATGAAATACCTGTCACTAACGTTAAAATGTGTTTCTTACTGTAATAAATTGTGGAGACACATATTTTTTAAAAAAGGCCGCTAATTTCAATTTATTGCTGATATGAAGTGACAGTTTTTTCTCTACTTCCAGGCCAAGAGCATTTCGTAATTAATTTTTTGTCTCACGAGCAAGGATTGTGCTTTAAAACATGAAGTTAAAGGGGGTTCAAATTTCAAAGTACTAGCGCATGTCAAATAGCATTCATCACTTTCATTAACAGTAGGCAACAACTGATGGAGGAAAATTATTTGAAGTGCCTACAAAAGGGAAGGCTGTGTTCAGTAAAAAAATGTTGTCAAAAACAAGAAAAAGGGCCGGGTTGTAATGGAACAAGGCCAAATATTTTCTTATTTTCGCGAGGAATTAATTGGAATTTAATTGAATGATTAAAAAAACAAAATTATTGATGCGGAAGCCTCTGAGGAAAGCCGGACTTCCGTTCCTTTGAAGATTGGCGAGCTTTAAGCAATTTGCAAAAGTTTGGGAATTTTTTTAAAACCTGGGTTGCACTTAGTTTAAGCTACATGTTGACAGATTTATGACGTATACAAACAAAATAAGCTGTAGTGGGGAGGAAGATTGCAATTAACTTCCAAAGTAAAGTTTTGACAATTAATTTTCTACTGTAACAAAACAAAACCTTCCAATTTTTTTTTTGTACTTATTACATTGACCCTAAAACGAATATAATTGCACCCACAGACCTCCGCGACGAGCGATAACTCGTCCACACCAGCTGGTGTAGCAGTTGCATATAACTCTTGTTTATAGCAGACTCCCTTGGTTGAAATATCATGGCAGTATTTGAAAATGTATCGCTACAAGGCAATGGCGAAACAACTGCAAGCAGCAATAGTACTCCTTCTCAAGAAGAGTGCTTTGGTCTTCCAACACAAGTTAATATCGCGTTACACGTTTTCACGCTCTTTGCATCCTTGATGGGAAATTCCCTTCTAATCACTGCTTTTGTTAGAATGAAAGAAAAAGTAATCCTAGTGATCGCTAACATGGCTGCATCAGACCTTCTGGTAGTAATCTTTCTACTTCCTCGCTTCATTGTAGCGGAGGCGCTCAGGTCTAATGTTTTTCTTATCCACGGAGGAGGGGGCACATTTTTGTGCAAGGTGTGCAGCTTCTTCAGCGACATGTCGTTGTCGGTGTCAACTCTAAGTTTGGTCGTGATCGCGGTTGAGCGCTTTCTAGCTGTGGTGTACCCTCTTCTGTATATGAAAACCTCTGGCAAGAGACGTCGTCTTCTCGTAGCTTCAACTTGGATCTTGGCCGCAGCATTTCACTTGCCGTACTTTTACACTTTTCGACTGGTGAGAGAAGTCGATAATCAAGGTTATGACTATCATGTCTGTCAATCAAGCTGGGAACCAGCTTTCAATGACCAGTCTGCGCGTCGTCGCTACAACATCTTTCTCTATACAACCGTTTTGATTATACCATTGCTCGTTATTTCTGTTTTGCACATTACTGTCGCTTTTCATCTTCGAAAGGACAAAATGAGTTCATGTCGAAACGAGAACGGAACAAAACGGATTCGAAAACGCACCCGGAGCCTACTCATGATGGCCATTTCTACTGTTACAGCATTTCTGATCTGTTGGACGCTCCAAATCGCTACAACTTTCGTCTCCCTCTTTTCACCCGGGTTGTTTCGAAAGTGCAGCAAAATGTTCACGGTCGTGTATTCTCTCTCGCACATTTTGGCAAGTTGCTATTGCGCAATCAATCCCTGGATATGCCTCTTCTTAATTCCAAGGCTTTTTCGCGAATTGAAAATTATGGTGCATAGAAGAACATTTCGGCAGTATGCAATGAAGGGCCAAAAAATGGGGTCTGAGACCGAAAGTAGTAATGTCCGGCTTCGATTTGAGAGTCGCACGTGTTCATTCACACCTAATGGCGATAATCACGAAAAATCGACCGAAAGAAGTTACTGATGACTCGATGCTCATGCAGTCTCTCGTCGCCTCTCTTCAGTGCACAATGTCATGTACATAAAAATTTTGTCAGGACTCCTATTTTAAGGATTTCAGCTTGATGAATGAAAACTTTCACTCCAGTAAGGATGTCCAAACCCAATATTTCCGTGATACATTTATTTTTTTTGTCTAGTATTTGTCACCATCGATGTCAAAGATTGCTAACCAAATATAAATTACATTTTATGTGCCTTGATTGATATATTTTATTTTTATAATTTTATGGTTTATCTGTCGTCTATTGCTCTTTAAAAAAATACTCAAATTGCCTTAAATTATTAAGTTTCAGTATCAGTATCAGTGTATATTGAGAAAAATAAAAAATAGGCGAGTTGGTGTAGAATCTTGATGAAATATGGTGAAATACATCTTGCTGCTTTTGTTAAAGGGTAGAGTACTTACTCGTGCATATCCAATGGAGTCACGAAGGACTGCACCAATGTCAAAACAAATCAACAGACATATAGAAAGCCAGCGATAACAACAGCAAGAAAGATGACCATGAAAGATTCGGCCATTGATTCACTTGTTTTCCACCAGTGGTTGCGTGATAATCAAAGTTTCATGAGTGGAACTGACGCTAATTTGTTAATATTTTAGAGTATGGTGTCAAATGGAAAAAAGGTTATTCCAGAAAAGTTGTATCTAGTATGAATTATTGTCTTCTTGTAGAGCTAATGTAAAAAAAAAAAGAAAAAATTAATAAACGTGGGATAATAAAAGAAAAGAGAAATCACATCGTATTCCTTGAACGTAATCTTTCAGGTGTTTAGGACAAACAGAAAATATCAGCTTTAACCTACTTCTCTTCAGAAATGGTAATTAACGTAAAGAAGGTTTGAGGAAAGACGGATGAAACTTTGAAAACCATTAAGAAAATTGAGGACAGATGTGTAATACTCGTCCGGCCATTTAAAGAATTTCATTCTTTCTGATTCATTATCTGAGCTAAGTAGCTCTTTGTAACTTTACTCAGACGTTCTTAAAATAACTCCTAGCTCAGAAAACCGGATATTCACGACTTTTAATATCAAATTATGGTACAAATGATAAAAGTTTTTTAAATGACAAGAAAGCAACTACCAATCGGAAACGCACATCAACCACGTTTCAAATTGAACCATATGGCAAAACATAGCTGTTTCAAAAGAAAATTGGATTTGACAAGTACAAAAGCTAAAAAAGCAATTTTTTTTTTAAGAGAAAAAAAATTATTATTAACAAGTGCCATTTCGGGGGAGGTGACGGCTTTTAGATTCCCACCATATTAAATAGTGTACATACAATTTGATTGGTTCTTACTTGGGATCTATTGGAGGACAGACAAAAAGATGACGTCATCGTTAAAAACGTCTTGCTTCAAGTTAACATATCAAGAAAGATAGATGTCATGTTTCTCTGGGTCTTTACAGTAATAGATCATAATGAAGACGTCAAATTGTGGTGATCCATTTCTAAACAGACGGACAGAAATATGGAGGCTATTTGTTACCTTTTACTTAGAAAAGTGGGTGGGCAGCCATTCCCGAAAAATAAATAACCTAAAAATTGTGTCTATGGTGGTGGGTTATTAGTTGACTTAAGTAGCGATGCTAATTTTAAACAGGAAAATAAATACGAATATTAAAAAAAATACAAATTAATAAGAAGAAATATTTCAAATGTAATCCATCAAACATTTTCGCCAGTGCACAACGGGTTGAGGCAAATCAGACGTTGTGACGAACCTCAAGTAAGACTCACCTGCCTACGAATATCTGAGGGATATTCCCTGATTGATGTTCCCCAGTTTTCAAGTTTTCCATCGGATGAGATTCGAGGCTTTTTTCCAATTTAGGTTAATATCAAGATGGCAAAGCGTTAAGCTTTTGTTATAGAAATCGAAAACTTTTTGTTAATATTCGTAATAGAAAACTCTCAAAGTCACCAACCTACAAGTGAAACACTTATTAAACAGCAACTGTTCGGTAACATACGATACCATGATGCATTTGCTTTGAAGGAACCTTGGAATATCCAACATCGTAGCCTTAAAGTCGGCGCGAAAATATGTCCTTGTATCAATTTTTGGGTCATGTCCGCAGATGAACGGTAGTTATATGCGCGTTTATCACAAGTTTTCCTCTCGTCTCTCACTGCTCGGTTTTCATACCAGTTGTTCGTTTTAAAATAGCATCAAAAGTCTTTGATGATATTGCGAGGCCGTGCTAGGTGACGTCACAGACTCCAATAGTGATCAGGACCCGAGCAATTTCCTTACCAGGTTGTTCATATTAATGGTTTTATGAGGGTAATCAGATATTTGATTGAATATCTTCGTTAATTTGATACAGTCGTCTAATATCATTATTTGTTTCGCACGTTGCACTTTGTTACATTGACTGGCCCTGGTTAACGCTTGAAACATCAACTTTAGAAACTTTCGACTGTGGCTAATTTAAATTATCAACTCAGTGCTAAAACCGAATTATCTTGTTGTCAGCCCCGACGACGCAGTACAACGGTTTCTCTGGAAAGGTACACCTTTTATTCAATTGAGCTAGTCTTAATACTCTTAATACATAATAAGAGATACGGACATGAAAAACGAGTATACGGACATGAGAAACGAAGAACGAATTATTATTAACATGTTACGAAATATCACATACTGCCACAGACAGCATAAATTTGTAAATCAGTGCATATTTATACAAGCAAGGATTGTTACTTGAATTCTCAGGATTATAGCGTACTAACTAAGGTTCTCTATTGCTACTTCGTACAGACCATTGTTTATGATTTGCCTATTTTCATCTGACTTTCGAAATGATTTGTGATATGTAAATGTAGGAATTTTTGTGCGTTCAAGATTTCGCTATGTATAGTGCTGAGTTTCCTAAAAATAAAGTACTACCCAGTACTGAAATAGTGAAATAGTGAAATATTATCACGATATATCTTGTTCGCAACCAGAGTTGTTCGAGCTCTCCAAATTTCCGGATTTTCTCCGTCCTAGGCAAGTGATAAAGCGTAACTAATCTGTTTTAAATATAATTCAAAAAGTCTGTCTCCATAGAGTCACTGAGAAACGCCAGGAACAACCTGTGTGCATTGCTTGAATACTTCACACAGTAGTTTTCTTTGCATCTGATGATACAATAGAACCCCTCTAAATCGGACACCCTTGGGACTGGAGGAAATGTCCGGTTTAGAGGGGTGTCTGGTGAACTGAGGTTTTACCTATAAGGCAATTTTATGCCGCATATTGTATTGTCTAACTGTAAGTACCAGCACACGGTACACGAGTACTAAAATAAATCACGTAAAGGAACAAACAACATGGATCACAAGGAAGCTTTTCAACGTCATTTTATTTAATTTACGAAAAAATTCAGTGTACACAAGGGTAATATGATTGCCACTTTTAAATCATGTAAACATGGAATGTTCTTTCCCAGTCCCCGGTGTTTTCTTCTGTAGGCAATTCAATGTGAACGTTTTGCAAAATCGACTGATCAACTCTCAACTGTTGAGCAAGAAGCGACAGCGGAGTGTCGTCTTCATCTTCGTAGTCATCTACTTGCTCATCAGTCACAGGAAAGCCAGTGGGTTTGAAACATTTGTAAGTGTCAATGATGCTGTCTCGGACCATGCCTTGGCTATCCAGTTGATAGCGTCAAGTAAAGTTATTTCTTTACAGAGTTCAGAACGCTTTCAGCCCTTTGGATCTTGCTTAAAAGCGGTCGTAGTAGATGTTTCTTGTATCGTGCATTGAAGGCACAGATAATCCCTCCATCAAGTGGCTGTTAATGCAGACGTTCCATAGTCGTTTCCTTTTCGCTGAAATGGCTCACGATTTGATTTTGAAATACCGCGAATGGAAACAATATTTCCTCGGAGATTGAATGCCATCAGTTCTTTGTGCTGTTGGAAGGAGCAATACTGACTCAAAAATACAGTTAATCCATGTTTTATCCGTCATCTGATATGAGCTAATGAACTGTACGTTCCCTTAATCAGGTGGGTTTTACTAGCGTTTTAGGCTAAACTCTAGAGTTTTATTGATTGACGGCGTTTCCGGATACATTTGGTATTTTGTTTATGGTATGTTTGCCTATCAGTCGTATTCAAGAAACAATGAGTAGAAATATGATGAACAAAGATTAAAATGACCTTTTTTTCGAAAAAAACTTAGCCTTTAAGTCCATCAACAACTTTACAAACTTTTGTAAAAACCAAATTCCTAGGACTCAAAAAAACCAAGTTGACTGAAATTGACGTACGGTATTTAACGGATCAGAGGTGAGAAAAACTACTAAAAATATTGAGGTGAATCAATATTAAAATGATGACTGGTCTAATTTTTTTCTTCTTTTATGTAAAACTTGCGTCCAGCAATGACAAAAAATATTCAGCACGTTATTGTGTTAAACATTAATTGCAGGCAACTCGCCAAAAGGACGAGGGTTCGATTCATGACTAGGTCACACGATATTGTAAATCTTCCAGTCTTCCACGAGACTGTCATCCGCCTCATTCTTTCCTTCCACTTTGATTTCTAAAAGCTTCACTTACAGAAGTTCTTTTTACAGATTTTACTAAGCTCACGCGAAAAATTTCGAAGGAAAATTAGGCAAATACATGGATTAACTGCACAATATGAAGAGGCTAATATCCGCGAGATATATCGCATGACTTTCTGTATCTTACTACACTCGGAAACCGGTCTTAGTGAAAAGAGGTCAAGGAAAGCAAAAACAATATAAGGAGTCCAACATATAAAAAGTGCCGTTACAGTAACGGCGGCCATTCGGTGCAATTTTTTGATACGTTCTCGGTTTCGTCTTTTTCCCTTTTCGGTACGACTTTCAGCCAGTTTATCCTTGCGTGAGCCGCATACTACAATAGCCGATAGAACAGAGATTGTAAATAGCGGTATTAACAGTACTGTGGTGAATAAAAAAATGTTGTAGCGAAGGTGCGCCGATTCGTCTTCAAAAGCTGGCTCCCAGGTAGGAATGCACAATTGGATCTTGCTGCCGTTGGAGTGGAACGGAACTAGGCGCATGATGTAAAAGTACGGTGCATGAATTGCTGCAGACGTGATCCACGTGGAAATGATTGCTCTCCAACGTACATTGAGCGTGATTTTCTTATAGAGCATGGGATAAACAATCGCTAAGAGACGCTCAACGAAGATTACGACCAGACTCTGTGTCGATACCGCCAATGACATATCACTAAGAAAAGTACACATCTTGCACAGAAATACGCCTCCACTTCCATGAACGAGAAAAGCGCTGGACCTGATGATTTCTCTTGTTATCACGCGTGGAATTAGAAAGATTGCCATTAACAAGTCAGACGCAGCCATGTTGACAATAAGAAGCATCATAGAATCCTTCGCGCTTAAAAACGCAGTGATGAGGAAGGCGTTTCCAAGCAAGGCAACCAGCAGAGTGAGAACATGTATCACTATTGTAACTTGTTCCGGACCTACAGGAGCTTCATCATCGGCACAAAGATTTTCTAAAAAGGTGTCGTTGCGGCTCGCATTTTGACTGTTTTCCAGACCATCTGCAGAGACGTTTGTATTCATTTTGGCGGAATTCGCTGTAACTTACAGTTGATCGACATTAAAATGAATCACGCTTAGGGTTATGGTCCATTTATATATTGTTGTACTGCATGAATTTAAAACAGTTGTGCTATTCCTAGCGGCTACAGCGACGTTAGGTGCCAATAAATCGGGCCAATTTGGCATCCCTTGAGATAAGCCAAATTCATTAGTCTCTGTACGTGTGACCTTTACCCACTATTAACAGGAAACGATATGGTGATCTAAAGAGAGCTGATAGATAACTCAATATTGCACAGTATACAAAACATTATCAGTAAAAGAAGATCTTGAATCTATCATAAAACTCCTTAGTAATATTATTTATAGAAAATCATTTAAGATTATTTTTTTTCGGAAGTTGTTATCTCTATGGCGAGACATTACAAACCTCTTTCTTAACAGCCCTTATATAAAAGTGTATCATGGGTAGTGATGCATGGACGTTCGTCTGGTGAGATATATCCGTTTATAAATAGCTGAAAACCCATATGATTTGAGCAAGTGCCAGTGTGTCTTTCCACATTGCCGAAGCATCCAACAGGTGCACGTTCAAAGCAAATTGGCTCCTAAAACATGTACAGGTTAAAGTCGATATGAATTCTGAAGAACCGAGCCTCTCGTAAGCGGTCTGAAGTGAAAGCCAAAATCTCGAAACATGTTGTCAAATTCGTTCGACAAATACATCTATCATAACGCGAAATGAAATGAATGAATACGCGAAGGAATCGATGACAAATAACGTATGGTTCTGACAAATATTTCTGTCAGATAGCAGCGAGTAAAGTTAATTTAATTGGGGAAAATGAAATGTCCAAGTACAAAGAACAAAACGAACCAAAACGAAAACAATAAAAAAGCAAGCCTGGTAAGTACGGGGGAAGGAAGAGTTCTTGTCATGAATTTGAGGCTTATGCATGAATAGCATGACTAAACACTCCAAGGATAATCGTATATTATCAATGAACGAAATTGGCACGGTATGGAGGGCTAAAATTTCGTTACTGTTTTTCAGAAATTTCTAGACATCATTCGTAGCACAAAGAACATCAACGGTACCGAACGACTTTAATATATGGAACAAAGTGCATATCGTTATCAGTTGATATACGGAGCAGCACGTGAATGTTATCCTAGATAATCTACGGCAGAGCATGTTTTGCACAATTACAAAAGAAAAACACCGCCGGAAAGGCTAATTTTGCACTGTCAGATATGTTGTAAAATACGGTTCCTCTATTTTCGAAGACACCATACAACCTACAGCCCATGTTTTTCAATAAAATGGTAATCAGCCTCAAAAATAACATGCAACAGTTACTTGGGTCGGATGTATAGATGTGAGCATAAGACCGGTGGTTATGATCTGGACTCTACATTCGCTACGTGAAGAATGACTGAGTAATATAAGGCTCGAAAAAGAAATTGATTTCTCTAATAAATTCATTTAATGTTGCGGAACATGTGCGCTGTGTATTGGTCAGTTGCCATACGCTTCCCTCATAAACCGGTGAAGCGAGTTTGTTATTTTCCTCTGTCTCAATGGTTAAACAAATGAAAAGTTGTTGGCTCTTTAGTTGCTGTAAGAAGCTATTCACCTTCTCGAGACCCAATATCGCGTTATCTTCTTGAAGCATTTGTACAGCCAACAGCCCTCCATTCCCTTCACTCATCGACCTTATCCCCTGAACAGTTCCTAGAAGAGTAGTTGGACCGTGTGTACAGCAGTACAAAGTCGAAACGCCCAGTTCCACATCGGATGTAACTACAACGGGAGACAAACGAACAAGAATGCTTCACTATAAATTTGTCAACTACCAAAAAACATTTTTCCATGGTTGGCTGGTTTTTCCATCTTTTAATATTGTGAATAAATCGTAATTGCTTTTCTATATATTTTAAAATATATTTCAAATGTTTAAAGGATTCACTCGATTTCTTACTTCGTTTATGTTTCCACCAATAATTTTCCGACCGAGATTGCTATGTTTGACTACACAAACAGCCATAGATGAAATGCTACTTCCAAATATAAATATGGCTCCAAAGTATACTTATCAAATAGATTTATGCGAATAAATAATACTTGAACTTCAAAGTGAGCTAAAGCTTTTGAGAAAATAGACAGGATTTCTCTATTGAGACACAATAACTGGGCTAAAGAATTATAAATAACACCTGTCCATGCCAGAGCTTTACTGAATCAATTTGTGAAACCTTTAAATTTTTAAAATCAATCTTTGCCCTCTGTTCGTAAAAAATATCTTATGAAAGGCTCTTCCCTGAGGGAAGGAATTTAGTGTTTAATTAAAAGAATATATGACAGGTTATTTTTTCAAGGTCCTAAGCAGTTTTTTACTGGACAATGTATTGATATTGTGGGGAGACGTTAAATTGCAAGAGGTCTGATAGCTGGTGCGGTTCACTTGTGGAAAGAAAAAGGAAAACCCTGTTAAAAAAAGAGCATGATTGATTAAAGATTTTGTCGATTTTTTAATAAAATTGTCGGAAGGGGAAGACATTTAATCATAGCTTAAAGTTAAACTTTGAGTATTCACCTTTTGACTCAAAATCATTTTGTGTCTCATTTGTGGCTAGTGACATCTGAAACACGGAAACATTTACATTAAAACAACGAAATGGTGGTATGGCCTAACAAATAGGCAGTGAAGTCTTTTTTGTTGCCGTCATAAACGGCGCTGCCTGAGGTAAGGTGTTTTAATTTTACGTAAAGAGGTCTCGTGTTAAGTTTCTTACGGCCATGTTAAGGTTCTTCAAAAATGACTTGATTTTTTGTGCCCTAGATTCTGCCAAAAAGATTTCTTGTTGGGTCAACGATACATAATCAATCACTCTGAAGCTCGTTGCAGCTCGAAAATCTCTGTTGTTATAAACGTCAACCAATGAGATTGTTCATGGGTTGGGTCTTTGAGCGTGGGTGGATTTATACAATTACGTTGTGAAGCACGTACAAAACTGAAAACTCTAAACTCCCCAAGTGAATGTTATTCAAAACTAATTAAACCTTTTAACACCAACGTTACATTTCCAAAACGCCTCACCACATTTGCGAATTATACCACTCCTTGCCTTCTATTTTTAATATGGAGTGCTGAGGGAAATGATTTTGCGATAAACACGCGTAAATGAAAAGGTTGTTACCAGAATTGCAGTGAGGTGGGATCAGATTAATGCCATTCCAGCATAATTTTTTCGGCTGGTCCAACGTAAATATCATTAACTTATCCACTAAGTTAGTTCGGGTCGGACGGGAGTTCCATGGCATGAGGTTGTGATGTACAATTCGAGCGCAGCGGATCTTACCAATGAACGAACGCCCACTAGTTTCCCATCAGGCCGAGATAACTTACCCAATAAGCATTATAAAATTTGGGAAAGGTGTGCTCTTTTTCTTTCTTACTGCTTCACGGATAATGCTAACGCGACATTTGCTAGTGCAGACGCTGAACATATGAATTATTGCCGTATAATCATGATCTAACCTAATCATGAGTATATTCATTGTTATCAGCCAACAACCTGACCTTAAATTTGTCAAAAACAGAGTCGATGTTAATTGTATCGAGGCCAAAGTTCTGGACATTTTCAGAATGCGGAACGAATGAAATTTGCTAAATCCCTCGGGGATTACATAGACCAATTCCTGAATTAGGATTGTCATGTCGAAAATGTTTAAAAGAGGTGTACATGGTGCAATAAAGCGAATATGACATCGTATTCGATTCAATGCTATAATCCTCACTTTCAAAATTCTAAATTGTTGTGTGGGGAAACTTTAACAAAGCATTAGCTGAATAGCTTTAAAATTCCAAAATTGCCCAGCGCTTGTCGATGTGGGCTACCTGTGGAGGCAATTTCAACGATTTTTTCAAAGCACTAGGATGGCGGAAACTCTCTCATCAAAGATTAAAAAAATAAAGCTATCGTGATGTATTAGACCTTTAAAGGGATGACAACAGAATATTTAGATCAAGAATGTCTTTTTTTGTGACGAACCTGAACGCTGTATTGTTTTTAGGAACACAGAGAACAAACTAGCTTTTCCTCAAACGCGCACTGATTACCTAAAGATAAGTTTTTGGTACTGTGAAGCCCTCTTGAAGAACAACATACCACCAGAAAAATGGAAAGCACTTTCTTTACACGATTTGAGACAAAATTTAGTTGCAACAGCTCGAAGTATATAATACTCTAAGTACAAACGACTGTGAATATATAAAAGTCATATATTTGAACCGTGAGGATTACAGCCTCCCAAAAAAGCAACCTCTATTGGTTAAATTGTGTAGGTAGCTAGTCGATTATAATTCTATTCTATATGAAAGAAATATTGAGTAGAGGTATCTTATCTCTAATCTAATTTTTTTTCTTCTTGCATTTCATTTCGTGCGGGAAAGTGTAGTTTTTTAAAGCCTTCTATGCGCCATTTTGAGCGGCCCTCGTAGAGTGATTTACGTGCAGAGACTTCAGCAGTGGTAAATCTTCGCTACAGTCTGGCAAACAAGTTAATCAAAACAAATTCGTGACAAATTTAAGTCGATTAAGTTTTCTTAAAGGAGCATTTGCATCGATCAATTGATAAATAAACTGTGATTGTAATATTTGCCAGAAGGAGCCCATCATACAAACGCCCTAATGTCGTTTCCCGTAAACTTCCTCACCATCCTTGGTTTTGTCCCCTTTTTTTTTTTTTTTTTTTTTTCTTCCGTTTAGCGCTTGGGTAACTTGATCTTAAATTTATGGCAAAAATTAAAAATAGAATGAAATAAAATTAAAAGAATGATCAAAGACGTTGCCGCGGTTTTAATGAAATTTGTAATTGGCAGAATCCGGAGACACTTAATCTTGGTAGTTGCATGGTTTTTGAATGTTCATTGTTTGATTCCAACTTTGTGTCGACCGCATTTGCAGTCAATGGCAGCTAAAATAAGGCGATTTTTTTTATCTATCTGGGCTACGAA